GCGGCAATTATTAAACATTCGTTATGAATGATTTCGTTACTAATCCTTCTTCGGGCGAGTGAAAAAATAATAGGAACGAGAGATATCTCGTCTGAACTTTTTGCGAATCCGAACAATCCGTATCTTGCGCGCCAACAAATTCATCTTAATTTTTCGATCGTCAATAACTGTGATTCGAATCCTTTTTTATTTTTTATTTTTTTTTTTTCACTTACTTATTCAATATAAACCTTTCAAAATAAAATGAACCACTTTATATAAGATATACTATGACGATAATCGTTCATGAATATTCAATTCGTGAGATAATGAATGAACGGAATTGGGCGCGATATCGATTTTAGAAAAATTATGAATAACGTAAAATTAACGATCTCGTCGGATCAGCATGTAAAAAAAGAAAAAGAAAAAAAAGGACGAAATTAAAAGAACAAAGAGCAAACTAATTGCGATAACTCTTGAGAATCGTTACATAAAATAGTGCATAAAGAGAAAAGGATAAAAAACTTACATTTCGCGAGCAATTTCTTTGCAAGTCGTAAAAAAAAGAAAATAGAAAAGGAATGGTTGAACAGTATAGGTTGATAGGTATTTTCTAAAGAGCTGTAAAGCACTTCTTCGCCCTTTTATTTCACTTTCGTGCGGTAATAATTACTTGGGTCTGAAATACGTAATAATTAGAGCAGTTTCGTCCACTCCTGCCCTCGTTCCTTCTCTTATATACGTTTATGAACGATGCGTGCCGCGCGATCCATCGAACGAGCCGTGTTTTAAAATGAAAACGATCTTTTAATTTTTCCTACTACAACGCCCGCTTTTACGACGAAAGTTTCAGCTGGAAAGATACGCAAGCTCACCCTCGAAAAGGGGGACGTTAAACGTGGTTACCGATACGATCGAGGCTCTCGTTAAAACGTCGTGATTCCTTTAAGACTGTTAAAAGAGATTGGCCAATGTCCGTAAACGCACCGATTCTCGTTTCGTTTCGAGGTGAGATCATAACGAAGACGTTTGTTAAATTCCTTTTTTTTTCTTTTTTTTTTTAATGTGAAAATACAAATTAATTGTAAAATATCTGATACATAAAAAACAATTTGGATAGATCGGATGATTAATTTTTAATTTGTAAATGGAAACGTAGAGATCGTATCAAGAAATAGGGATGAAATAGGGATATCGAAGTGTTTTTTCAACAATTTTCATAAATTCAAGTTGTTAGTTATATCAGATTATACAGTAACTAATTACATCATTTCTTATGCTATAGTTTACGGATAATTGGTGTTTATAAATTAAAATAGGACGCTCTATACTTTTACAACACTCCCCTTATTTAGCAAGTTAATTTAATCATTGAATAAAGTTACAGTGAATTTATTAGTTTTTTTTTTTCTTTTTTTTTACACAAAGTGTAGAGAAAAGTATAAGAAGTGATTAAATATAGAATGATGAAGGTTAATTGAAATAGAGTTCAAAGAGTTTTCTTTATCTCTTTTTTTTTTGGTCCAGCTTAATATCTAGAATTGATCTTTCAAAAGCGACCCATATCTTTATGAACATTCGCGATATCAAAGAGCTGAAAGCGATCGATCGAAATAGAAAGTTTAGAGAGAAATTTTTATATCTTTCGAATCGCTCTCGCAAATTTTGCACCTTTTGATTCGTGTTAATCGAGATTTGTGGAAAACTTTTCCCGAACGTTAAACATTCATAAACGGAGTATTTCGCGGCTCTTCCTCGGCACTTCGCGAAATTTCGGACTGATTTCAACGATCGTTTCGAGGTTGAACAGATTGAGATATTTAGAAGCTTCGAAAGTTCCCTTATCCTTGGAACGTTTCGCACAACTTTTCGACCAAAACTTTTTTCGTAAAGCACTCGAGACATTTTTAATTCCATCAGTTTTCACGATTCATGAAGAACGAGAGTGGATACATAATAAAGATCCATATCACGCAATAAATCACCAATGCATCCATCTAGAATTCTCGGCTAATTTCGCGATTTTGTATCAGGGGAGGAGGGTGACACGTGAAATTTCAAGTTTCGAAATTTTTAATCCGTCCAATTACAACTTCTGACTTAATTTTTCGATCTCGTGCCAGCAAGAATGGATGAAGTTTTTTCACAATTCACGAGAAGAAAAATATTTAGCGATTACTCTGATCTCTGTACGTCCAAAATTTTTAATTTTTTAGAGATCGATAATCTATAACGTCCCATCGCAAAATCTCTTAAGATCTCTTTTTACATATCTTTTCCTTTCCTCCCCTCCCCCTCCCCCCTTCCCTTTAATATTAAACGATCAACTTCAATTATCTCGATCGAAACACTCAGAAAATTTCATTTCTTGCTGGTGCACTTTCGACCAATTTAATAACTCGACATTCGTGAAACGGACCAGATATCGAAATACCATATATACGTGTATAGATATAAAATATCAAGACCTTTTAGACTAATTACCACCAGATATGGACATGCTTCCGTTTCACCTGGAACGAAGGCAAATAGAATGAGCGAAGTTATCGTGTCATTCGCATAGACTTGGCAGACCTCAAATTCACGAGTATATCAGTCTGAAAGTATCACGTTACGTACGTACAATAAAACATCGTATAATAAAAGTTTGAAATAAATTACAAATGTTTCAGCTACGTTTCCCCTAAGTTAAGCAGAAATTAAACGCAAGAAGAGAAGAAAATGAATATGGGAAATAACGAAAAATCAAATCGATGAATCGATTTGTTGAGATACAAACAATAAAATTACAAATAATGTAATAAAATTTTGTTATTTACGCACGTTTGGGAGGAAATGTACGAATTTTCCCAGCGAGACCGACGATCCCGCCTTTCATCATCAAAGTGACACCCGCAGATTAATGAAGATGAATCACAGTTCAAAATTTTATTTACCTATTTTCACAGTCTAGTTTCACTAGATATTAGCTCGCCACACATTCCACGAAATATCCTTGGCTGGAATAAACCTGCAAGTATATTACACAAGGTAATATTTATAAAATTTTGACGCGCGTTTCCAGGGAACGAGACCGAATATATAACTCGGCCGAGAGATAATTTAATAATGATCCTTGTATAAATAAAGACGTTGCTCTCGCGAATTTTATCTCGCAACTTAAAACACACCACGTATCGGATAACGATCAGATCAGATCGTTAATTTTATCCCATCTAGGCGGCTATTCATGGCCGGCAACCGGTGGATAATTCAAGGATAATCAAAATCCCTCGGCCTCCTGGAGGAGGCGAACTGCACGAGGATCGAATCTATTACGCGGGGTATAATTAAAAGCCTTTTTGCGGCTCACCACCGTCTTAATTATCGAGAGAAACGTCCCTGGATGACGGAGGACGGTTCGACAGCCGGCTAAAGACGGTTAACAGCCGATGACTATGAATTATATTTCTATTGGAAGGCAGCGGACTCGAAACGGTCAGAGACCCCCTGTCGGGCGACGTTCTACCTCCCGTTGCTCTTTGTCCTTGTTTAGATCGGCGAATCGAAGCAGAGGGGAAGGGGGGCAGAGCTCGAAAGAGTCATTATGGAGAGACCACCACTCTGACCGCTCATTAACTCTTTTACTCGCGTCTTACCATTCTTGCTTCGCCTCTCCTCTTCGTGCGAACTTGATCGAGATCTTTTCTTGCCTTTCCACTTAAACATCGAGAAATATTTAACGAGTTGAGGATGTCGCAGCGCAGAAGAGGACATTAACACATTAAGATGGTTAAACAGTTTTTGTAAAACGTTTAAACCAAAGTGTTAAAATCAACAAATAGTTTTTCTTCTATTATCACGAAAGCGTTCTCGTTACTAGATTGAAACACCAAAATGTTTCTGTATATAATCGGGTTAAATAGGACAAGGCTCGGTTCACAACTGTAATCTTGTGAAACCAGACCTACTAGCGTTGCAAAATTTTACAACCCCCTCGAAACTCGAATAAATCCGGACAATCCGGGATACAAAGATCGAGAAAACGGGAAAACGAAATCTCCTCTCGTGGAAAAATTTATAGAAAGATGGAAAGAGATGAAAGAGAGTGGTTTATTAAAAAACACGAACGCATTTTCCATAATCACGGCGTGTCGCCGTTGGAAGAAACAGTTCGTTAGAATTGAAAAGGCGGCGATTATGGCGGCCGTGAATGGCCGCCGTTCTGAAAATCGTTTCTAAAAATTTCTTCATTCTCCCCTCCGATTTGGGGACGAGCGTCGCGGTTAAACGCGGTTCCAAATGCGAGTGCAAAGGGCGCGGAATTTGTTTCTGAATGCGCAGCAACGACACGCACACACATCTCTGAGGAAACTTTGAAAAGGCGGCGCGCGGCTTGAAGATGAACCCGCCCGCGGACGTTTGAATTACAACCCTTGAATTCAGATGAATTCAAGTTTGACCTGTATCCGCGGGCCCGGATAAATATATATTCGCCGTTCTGGGACAAAGCCGTTCTCGGATGTGTTCGCTTTCACCCCTCGTGACGGACAAGTGTTAAATCCGGAATAGAACACCCCTCCCCCTCCATAATTTACGAGTTTCGTGTTTTCTCTAATCGTTATTCGAGTCGAGAAAATGTGGATTCGATCGACCCCGAGTTTATTGCCACGAAACGTCGATAATTCGGAACGAGTATGCATTTAAATTTGCGTATCTAACCAAATGATGCCGGGACACGTACGTAATCCATGAAAATGATTAATTCAGGATTAAATACTTGTAATACTTGAATGTATCGAGTGTATAGTAATTACTTCGTGATTTGTTTGTTTCATTCTTATCGATCATTCGATAAGAATGTTTTATCAAATTGAAATTTGCAATTATCTTTTCTCTAAGTTTTCAAAATTATATATAGTTCAAAAGTTCGTTTCGATTCCTTAATATCATCGTATCTATAACACCTGTGGATCCTGTTAACAATTTAAACGATACACGATCCTTCATTATTCATCTTTACAGCAACTTTATTTTTTTCTTTTTTTTGTTTACAGGTACAGCGTCATTTTTCACGATTAAATTTTTCAATCCGTCGAGACAGTATCCACTTTAACCCTGGTGTAACGATCGATTCGCGTCATCGTTCCGAGAGCAATTTTGTCGATAGCCAACCACGAGTTCGTGAGATTTCCACGTCGACGCGTCAAATGTTGCAACAGCTGTGAGACGACGGTCTCGAACCGCGATTCCAGAGGGGGATCCAACTGAAGGAATCATCGAGCCGCAACCTGTTCGAGTGGCAGGGGAGGATCGAGCCTATGCAACAGAGAGGTCAGTATAATTTTTCGGGAACAATCAAAAAGAAAGGCTGGCATAGAAAAACGAATGGATTCCAGGGGTTCGCCGAGCTGCGGGCGAATAATTGGCCAAGCAAGGTTGATAACGCTAGCGATGGCTTCGAGCATCTCGCAGGCAGACTTGAACGGATTTCTACGTGATTCTGAAACTTTTCGAACGTGTAAGTGAAATATTTATTGTCCAAGTAATTGCGAATTTGAACAAAATGCAATTAGTTTAAAAACCAATCGAATTGTTTTTACAGTTGTTTAAAACGTTCTCGATGAAATTCGATATTGGTTTTTCCTTTTCGATCATTATTTCATCAAATATACAAGTATAATCATCTTCTCGTTACTTCTTCCATACTAGGCTTGCACTTTCTCAAATGCAATAACGTTATAATATTATTTTTCGCGGATTCAAAGATATTTGCCTAAACAAACGCGACAATTCGGTAGCTGATTATTATTAATTCTTAAAAAAAACTGGCACAACTCGATCCCATCCCTAGATAACACGTGGTGGCCTTTTGACGGATGGATACGGGGAGCAAATTGCCGCTTTAAACTCGTTCGCCTCGTACACGTCGCCGTTCCTCTTCATCCCTTCTCACGTTAATACGCGGCGCGGACCGGACGTTGTTTTGATAATTTATTGAAATCGTCGAGAGAGAGAGAGAGGGTCTAAGAGGTGTGCCCTACTACCAAGGATCCGCACAGGCGTGGTGAAATATGGCCGTGCGAATTACACGAGATGTCGGACCCGCGTCAGCGGCCCGGAGAAGCCGACGATAGAGGAATTTCCCGGCGGAGAACGAGCGGCGTTGCACGCGCCGCCGCCTCCCCTCTCTCCTCCTTCTCCCCCCCCCCCTCTCCCTCCTCCTCCCGTGTTCTTCGCTCATCGCGCGCCGCAACCAATGATCTCGATGATTGATACCCCCTTGTCTTGAAATCTCGCCATCGCCGAGATCTAGTTGGGATTGCTCGATGGATACGTACGGGTAATGCTCCGATCTTTGAAGCTGATTGCTTGCAGATCGTGGATAATCGTGATTGTTTACAAAGGTATTGGTGTAAAAAATTGGAGGGCATAGATGAGAAGAAGAATTGAGAAACTGTTGCTCTCTTGTTGTTTGGAAAAGTTGGAAGAAAACGTTAAACTTTCTTTAGAAAATAAACTTTCTAAATTTATTACCATGATACGAATGATACATGTTACGAATTTACGAATTTATCATTCAACGTTATCAAAATATAATAATGATATAATTTTCTCGTTCACCTAATAAAAATTATTCGACAAGCCAGTATTAATTGGGAACAACTAAATGACGAAACTGCTAAATATTAAGCGAAAAGAATTCGGAATTTCGTGAAAATTACGAACAGCGTCGACGACAAATTTTCAGCCCGGTGACGTCGATATCAAAACAGCATCGCATGGAAAAGAAGAAGAAGAATAAAAGGAAACAAAGAAAGAAAAAAAGAACCGAACCCCTGTGTACATTTTAATATTCCGTATTTAAAAATAGCGGAAGAGGAGGGGTTGGATTTTGTAATCTACGCCCGAAAAAGCGCGTATATTTCGCTGTTAAAAAAAGAAAAAAAAAGAAAGAAGAAAATAGGCCGCGTTATGAAAGTTGGCCTATTACTCGCATAAACTCGCACACGTTCGCATTGTTCGTGGCACGCTCGCTCGAACGAGGCTCGAGGAAGGACGAGTAACATATGCCCGCGAAACGTTTTGAATAATGCGACTAATATTTGCGCATCGATCGATTACGACGAACTGACGACAAGCGCGACGCGTTCCATGCAAATGAAAGGTTGCTGGGATCGTAAAAATGGCGGTCATACATATTCGACCTCGGTGTTCGTCCTCCTCGCTTTATTGAAACATGGATGGCCAGCCAATACGGCAGACCCGCCATGATGAAACGAAATGGGAATAATTAATGGGTGAAAACAGGGCGCCTTCGAGCCACGATAAAATTGCCCGATTTTTGTCTTTCGAAAATTTCACCGACCGACCATTGTTTCGACCCGCACGAGAGGGCACGATATAAACTGTAAAGCTTTGTTCGAGAGCGACGATCCGATCTTTTGTTTTCGAATAAACAGGCATAAATGGCGTCTTTGAAAGATGATGGATCCCGGGTAAGGAGGAAAAATAAGGGGAATTGGAACATTCGATCCTGTCATTCCGAAATAACGCGAATGAATTATTCTTGGCAGCGAATAATTGGTATTGGCATCGATGATACAACGAGAAATGGAACCGTTATCGTCCGTGAGATTTTCTAATTAAGAATTTCAACATTCGACACAAGCAAGATTGAACATTTTTAAGTCTACAATTTATAGAAAGAAGAGGATATACATTTTACGTGGAAAAGTTATTAACATATAATTTTTAAAATTAAATTAATCGATAAGAAAAGAAGATTTCTAAAAGGTTTGCCAGAAAAATCGAGCGCAAGTAAGAAATTATCAACGGTATATAGTCGGAATAATCGAATGTCCATATAATTTTGCCCGACTATAACTTAATAATTGCAGCTTACGATTATGACGTTATCCCTGTGTAAAAGGCACGCATAAATTCTCAAACTTTCACGCCTCCCATTACCGGTTAAAGAAGCACATTAACCCTTCTATCGCAACAATATCTCACAAAAATTTCCAACACGATTGCACCTAATAATCCTCCTCGACCCATACATTACAATCCATACAGCACAAGAGGCGGTCGTAAAACAAGCACGGCCGGTTACTCACGAAACGACATCAGCCATCCAGCTTACGAATTAACCGCCGTAAACGTCCGCCCGTCCCGCCAATTAACCCCGATACCTAGGCCATTTACTTGTACAAAAGCTATCTTTCAATAACAAGCTAATCGGCCATCATCCACTTGGGGCCGCGTTTAGTCATTCGCTAATCAAAAAGGATATCGAACAAATTGAATTCTATTCTCTCGTTGAATTCTCTTCTAATTATTAGGTGTACAAATTAATTCGCGAGCTTTTTGAGAGAGCTTATTTAGGGAGAGAGAGAAAAGAAATCGAACAAAAATTATAATTGGAGTGCAATTATATTTGAGAGTGAAACAAAAAATCGAAAGTTGCCCTCGAGAATTTATTTCTCGCTAATGGACACCGCGGAGAATCGAGGATAAAAATCGCTGTCAAAAAATATTTTCCAGAGGAAATCTCGACAGGTTTGGGAACTTCGAATCTATTTGAGAGAGAGAAAGTTAAAGTTATACTTTTTCGATTATTCTCGTATCGAAAAAAAAAAAAAATAAATAAATAACAATTTTGAACGAATAAAATCGGCTAAAAAATACTATTATTATTGGAGATGATACTGAGGTAAAATAAAAATTATAAAAGGTATAACAATCGATCGATAGAGGCAACGAATTAAATTCCTACTAATTCCATCTAATATATCCGGAAATGGGATCGACGTTCAGGCATCGAAGCGCCTGAAATTCCGTGGGTGTTTCCCAAGATCGATTATGAAAGCGGTCACGAGGCACCCTCTCTGTAATTACGGACACTTGGATGGAAAATGCTGACAGTTAGCAAGGGGTCGGCACACGTCTTTTTCTCGTTTTCTGCGCAACAGGCGGAACACGATCGGCCTTTGACGTAACACATCGCAGACACCTTCTGTCCTTTTTCGATCATTAGTATCATTTGCACTCGTAGGATTGCTACGTCGTTTTATCAAAGATAACGAAACGAATGGATTCCTTCGACAATTTCTCCGTTGGATGATTTGAACAATTATTATTCACGCGTCAGATGAAGATAACGCGATTGTGTATATTCTCTTTGCTACACAATTTCAATTTTTTTTAATTTTGTATATATTATTTTGAGACGAGATTTATCAGGTTCGATTTTGAAGGTTCGTGCGTGTGTGGTGCACGATTATTAGATGGCGGATGTTTATGCAAAATAAAGATATCAAATAATTTTTCACATATATTTTATAAAATTTCCCTTGGGAATATTTTTTTATAGCAGATCGATGGAGCATTTTGTACATGTAAAGTTACGTTCTGTATCGTGCAAAGTTATATTTAAAAAACGAGAAAAACATTGGAATTTTAAGGGTTGATTTCACCCCCTCAAAGTAATACTCAACTAAAAAAATTGTCCCACATACTGTGACCCGTTGTGCTCTATATTTTCACAAAGTTTTACTGAAATTATAATTTTCGTTGATTTTTTACAACACGTTAACTTGTTAATTGGAGCTTGTTCAAGAAACGTAATTAAAAAGTTTGGTCGTTTAATTCGAGGAAACAATTCGTTCTCTTGATTGTGAAAAAAAAAAAAAAAGAAAAAAAAGAAAACCCGAGTTCCAAGCACCGTAAGAAGCACGGTAATTTATTTTTTGAAGCGTAAAGAATGCACGTTTTTTGTTGCAATTGAAACGGTGTAGAAATATAAAAAAGTTCAACGTAGAAGGAACATTGTGCGTTTTAAACACCGTTAAAAACTCGAAACAGTATCCGCAATTGCAGCTTGAAGATCTCTTTTCATCTCAAATCGATTTGTTCCTGCAAACGAAGAGGACAAATATTTAAACAAACTATCGAAGGAGAATAAAACGTGTCTTGCGAAAAGAGAAATATTTCAATGTGATAAACTTTGTGGTTTTCAAAAATCACTACAATAATTTACAATTGTACCATGATGTACAATTATTCCAATTCAAGCTTTATGTAAGATTGATTCAATTAAAAATTTGCATTTTCCAATTGTATCGTGAATACTTTTTTTCTTAATATCAATGATACAATAATTTAATTTTTATTTTATCCTTCATTGATTGTAACGCGAATTTTTTCTTGCTTTATACTTTTCAGAATAGAAGAATACGTATGCAAAGGTACAAATACAATCCAATGTTTCTCGATACCGTTTTAGAATTTATCCGAATAGTTATGACGCATACAAGATGAACGCAGTAAAATGAAATTAAAGTACCTTCGCTATGTGTACCTTAACCTATCCACAAATACCGATATCGTATTCTACAAGGTTTATGTTTTCAATATGACAGAACGGCTATTCGATCCAATCGAGGTAACCAAGCCCAGATTCTTTTTTCCTTGGAATCCAATATTCGAAAACAGGTTTACGTGGTACACGAATATGAATATCTTTTATCGTAGAAGGAGAAGTATGAAGAAATCGACGATTCTTAAGAAAGTAGGCTACTGTTGGAATATTAAATTTGAATAAAAATTGTCCGTAATTCAACAAAGAAGAAGCGTATTGAATTCAATTGAGGAAATAAGAAAGAATTCAAATAAAACACTAGGAAACTGGTTTCTAATCTGTGGATGGACTTGGACACTCAAATGAGCTATTTTTGACGGATTGCTGCTATTTTTCTTCGAAAATTTTTAATATTACATAACATTTACCCTACATAGATCTGTCATTTAGTAGTAATCCTTTCGCAAGTTAATCAGGAGGAGAAGATCGAATTAGATCAATTTTTTAATTTTTTAACTTCTCCTTACATCATCTTATACAGAGAGGAAACGAGAAGAAATTTGTCGAATATATTTAAAAATATTAAAAAGGATACGATACTCGACAGCACGAATCGACAGAGCGTGCAACAAGAATGATCTTCGTCGCCAATTCTTGCCAACGCTTTTCTTCTTTTATCCCAATCGAACGAACGAAGTCTCCGGAATTATTAACACGATTCTTCACCAGGGGACGATTTCTCTTCAGTTGGCGGACAAGTAATCGACGAATTGATAGCGGGTAATTTCTCTGCAACGGTACCTTAATTATCGGATTCGCTAATTCGATCCTATTGATTCTCACGTTGCCGGTACGCAGGGCTGGTACGAAGGTGAGAGGATATTCTCGTAAGCGCCAGCAGGCAAGTAGAATCGCTTTACTTCTCTCCCGGCTGGAGGGTTGTAATTAAGGCCCCAT